AATTCTTTGTTGCTTCATTCTACCTCATGGTGTACGTCGCCACTCCCCCGCTGCTAAGCGTCTACATCCTCACATCATAAATCAACCTATTCGTTTGCAATAGTAGACGTCTCCGATCTCTTCAGTTATCTCTGGCAAAACCAGCGACCAGTCTCAGCAGCGCCAAGACGTCCGCGCTCTCGTGGTGGCCTGCATCATGTCGATTCGAAAGGTTGTTGGCGGCATCGCCGTGTGACGTTATCGGATACCGTTCATCTCAACGCAGAGAAGACAGGTAAGAAAGATAGAGTAGACGAAGTTATAGAAAACTGCGAAGCTGAAATGGTGCCGCGTGCCTTGCTGACGCGCCCAGGTCGCGAGCCTAGGCGAGGTAGGCCGAGGTGATCGGTAGTGGCGGTGATACAGGACAGCCACAAAATTCGTGCTACGTATTATAAAATACGGTTGACCACCCAACGCCAGTTCATCAGCTTTTCATCCTCTCGAACATCGAACTTAACGTTGAATGATATACGGCCACCACTTTCCAATAGAAACAACACGTAACGGAAAGGTCTTTGCAGGGCTGCAAATAAGGGCGTAACCATTGGATCTCTCCGGCGAAGCAACAACTCTGTATCCTTACTAGATAGACCTTTCCTGAGATATACAGACTACAGAAAAAGCCATTACCGGCTCACTGTTCCTGCCACTTGATGCTGATCGGAGTACTCGTGACGAGTGTTGGGCATGACGCGGTCAGTTTTTCATCTTGTTATCATCGTAGTCTTCGTCAGTAGCGTCATTTCCACAACAGCGCTGTCATTCGGTTGGTTCGCAAATTATTCCAGCTGAACCTAAGTAATCAAACTCAGACTGATCAGACTTGATCACGATAGACGAAACTGCCCATTAGACAATCGAAACGGTAGAGTAGAGATGAGAGATTGGCGCCGTTCAAAAGATACTCACGTATAGGTACTTAGCTTTGGAGAAGTGGAAAACGGCTTGTCAAAGTCATTTGTCACACACGGCTACACTTCGTGTGAACATCAAAGCAGGTAGCGTGCGAATGCATAGACAAGACTCAAGAACCCTCTTAGTTATGTCTTTTGCAGCGCCACGGCGCTTGAGGCGGCTAATATCTTTCAGCAGATGGGCAGAATCAATCTACAGAAAACTAACCTGATGGACAGCTTCGTTATTGACAGTAGCAGGCTGCGAAAGCCCCTGTTGAGTATGAATATTGTGGATATTAGGTGAACAGCACGGTGCCCAACTCGACGAATATCAGGCTCGCGAGACAAAGGGGGTCAAGGGTCACCCTAGGCGAGTGGACAGGAATTTCGACGGTGTCGTGGCCATGTCGAACCAATAGGATCTAGTCCAGTTTGTCGGACTCGAAAATTTCGCTAATTACTGTCGATTAACAACCAGCGGGGGGTTTGTTTGTACGAATAGGTTACGGGCGGTTTTGTTGGCGACTCAAGTATCAAACTTTGCTAAAAGGTTTCCATCTGTAGCTGTCGTTGTTTGTCGCTTCAACAAGCTATCAACTGGTCACATCCATTTTCGACATGACTATGCCGAAGCTCAAGGTTTCGTCTGTTGGAATAGCGGGTTGCATTTATAGAATACTAAACCCAATATGCACGAAGCATAGACATTACTCTAAAAACCCACCACGCTAAAAATCTAGTACATAGAGCTCCTCCAATTTTAGTTGTTTTTAAAAATCATCGTTTCAGTTATCTTCTGTACTCTAACCTTATGCAAACCGACATTGGATTTCATGTTGTATCTTTTATTTTCGTTGTTTATTTACACATTTCTCATTGATGGAAATATCAAAACCATCATATACATGGTATACATAAAATACAACTAAGTAAAACGAACATAAATTGCTTAAGCATATTATTATTAGCTACGTCACGGCCTCCGGTCTGAGTTTACGGGACCTCGACACATTTAGAAACGTTTGTCTCACCGGTATTTCCATACCACTTCTTAGCCCTGTTTATGTAGCCGTTTGCGAGAGTCGAACAGAAATCGGAAGAATCGCGTACGTAACCCAAATAACACTGCGTCCGGGGCACAAACCGAAAATTAAAGACATCGTTGGTAAAGCGACACGGCAAATCGTAGCCCCAAAGTGACCCCATTTACTGGGATTGAACCACTGTAGCTCCATCAGGTAAGTATATGTGTGTCTACCGATTTTTCAAGCCGGATACTATGCGGTTTGTATAGAAGCAGGCCGAATCGAGTGGCATGCAATGTTTGTTGAGTGTGACACACGTGCACTGAAGGTTCGTTCCCGGTTACCAGCGCCACCCCCTCTACTACCGGTGCTAAAAGCGATTCGAGCGCCAAAATAACCCAAATAACCGACAGCTATTTGGCGATGGGTTTACAACGCAGCACTAAACAAGAGCGTTGTAGAATAGGTGTGCTATGAACGCTCTACGCTGAGCTAGAACGTTTCAGTTAGCTAGCCTTGGCGCCTGGTGACCGATCGAAACTTTCTATAATGTACAGTGGGCGACCGGCGGTGTTTGGCCAGTGTCACGAACGAGTGAAGTCTTTCGTGCGCATCCAATGACCAGGTCTATTCCCTGCTCATCGAATGACCGGGAACCAGGTAAACCTTTTCTTTTTTTTTTTTGTTGTGATACAATGGCCTAGGCTCAGGGAGGCCTAGTGAGTGGTGAAGTGAGGATCTGTTTTGATACCGCTACCGGATCGCTTCCGGAGTGTCGTCGGATGCCGGACGTCGGATCAACGCTCAAGCAATGCCGATGCTACGTTGTACTACAGCACGAAATGACCGTCTGTGAACATTGGCAGTGGTCATTATGTTGTATGCGTGTGGTATTATGTGAACAGTATGTGCCCACGTTGTTCACCCGTTTATTGGATAATACATCGAAATCAGAAACAGGCCATGGCCGAAAAATGAACGAGTATTGTCCTACAACAGCAATAATCAATGAGAGTAAGGAACGTGTTTCCGCTAGCATCTGTACTAAGAAGTATTTCATCGTTAAATCATTAAATCTCGCAGATATTCGATTCACGTGGATGGCCTATAAAATATAGTATATTAGAATGCAAGAAGAGTTATCGAAAAGGGGGTAGCATCGGTAGCTGTTGGGGGTGGTTTTGCTTGTAGATACGGTGAGCCATTAACAACATTGCTGGTCGCCGCCTCGGATCGAAAGGCCACTTGCCGAGTAATCTTTCTTCCGAACTGGAGAAAAGTTACGACAGTTATTATTTTGGGTGTATATATATAATAAATATAAACACTCTGTTGGAGTTCAGCGACGGTTGAACAGCGTGATTTCCTTTGGAAAAAGTTGCACCGTCCTGAAACGCGTTTCTGTTTTGTGTAGGTTAATATAAATATATATCTCTTTGGAAAAAAAATTTCCACAAACGCATAAACTATATCCATTTAGGTGTAGCTAAAGATTGATCCTGTTCTGTCCTGCAACTGTTACTGATGCACAAGACGGATGTGAAAGCTACCTGAATTCAGGAAAAATCTCTTCATTGAAGCAAAAATAAAAATCAAGCACATCTAGCTATTAGCTGTTTTCCTACCTATTTCCTATTTTGTCTCATTTAGATTGTGATGCAATTTATGTGTTCTTCAATACGAGCCGCATATTGAGACGACCCATTCAGTCAGTGGTTCCTGAATCGACTGAAAACATATCGTATAGTGTACAGTGGTACAGATAATTACTTCTTCTGAAATATATGTCAAATTATACACGGGTGTAGGCTGTTTTTTTTTACAATTATATCTCCTACTTTTTTTTTTCTATTTAGATTTCAGCTTAACGAGGTCGAAGGTCTACCGCCGATCACCCTTACGAATAAAAGGAAACCGACATGACTGAAGTCAATAACGTGTAGAAAACACAGTACGTAGTTGCTTGAGCTCACTCTATTTATAAGAAACGATGCACATATTTGTACCCGGTTAGTTTTCCTATATAATTTCGTAAGAAAAAAAACTCGACCACTTCGCGTAGACTATTCAATTCAAGCAACTAAATTAACCGGTTCCATAGGGGAAACTTCTGATCGGTTCTTATGCAGTCGAATATACAATAGTTGGACAAGTAGCGCTTAAACGAGCTTAGAGACCTACCACATAATGCGATCAGATCCGATATAGATCTTAGACCATTAACTATATATACACGATCCATTTTTGTATTTCGACTGAGCCTGACCGATAGACTCAAAGTAGGCAACACATTTCATGTCCGAAATTTCGACTATACGTCTATTTGGTACAGATATATTTTGCCTTCCGTACAGAAACATATCTTTACTTTTTTTTTTTAGATATAAATCTATTGTGTGAGTGTATATGGACATGCGTTAGTGTGAGAATAGCTGATTTTGGATGTCCAGGTGGCAATCGGCGTACTTCAGCTCGCGGTTTTGCATCGAATCGTCCGAGATTCTTGTATAAATGAACTCTAAAGTAAATCTGCTTATCTAGAATGATCGTATTGCAGTGACGTAATTATTTTTACTTATTCGTTAAGTAAATACAAGTTACTTGATGGACTTTAGCCGTGAGAACCAAACAAGAGTGGTTCCTTTATAACGTGGGTTAGCATTGTTTATGTCCCTCGCTAATATCGACTTCAAAACAGTATATGCTAGGCAATTTCTGCTCGAACATTTGAATTGAGATGCGGACCAGTCTAAAAATTAGATAGAGTATATGAAAATAAGCCTACTCAAACTCTACTTTTCTTTTTAGCTGAACGTCAAAAACTGTCCTTCTTTAGAAGGCAATCCTCTGGGTGTCCGGTACGTTTGCATTCGTTTAGAACTACAAGTCGTTGAGTACACAGACAACACTCGGCGAAAATATCGCAGTACTTCCGGGCTCTCGAGCGACCACATGTGCTATAGAAAACAGAAAATCCTTAGGTATATCCTACCTAGTTTATTGGCTGTACCTAGAAATGAAAACATCATTGGCCGATTCTACGTTGGGTTTATTTTTACTGCCAAAGGAATATCTGCTCCGTCAATCAGATCGTTAATATGCGGCAATACAGACTCGCAGGAGTCCCGCACGGAAACTCTCTCTGCGCCCTTTGAAACCAAGGTTGCAAGTCAAACTAAACTCGCTGTTGATCAATCCTGGCCTTCATACAACAAATTTAAAGGAGAATTTCAAATATATCTAGCTTTACTATAATGGGCAGAAGGCATATCCATCCAGTTTGGCGTTCGGCCTTTATCTTATCTATCAGGCTTGAGCAATGGCAGTTCCTATTCGTTTTGACATAATCACAGTTATAAAACGGATCGATAATACAGCAGTGAATTAAATATTTGTCAATATTAAATTTGCCCCATCAGTAGGAAAAACACACTATTGACTTAGCGCGATGTTAGTAATACCAACTCGGATCAGATATTAATATATAAAAGGCCGACAGTTTCAGGCGTATCGACGACACGTAACGTGCCACAGAAAATCAGTCGATTCTTGCCCATCCCGTTGCAGCCGTACCGATATTATGAAGAACGAGCACCGCGAGAAACGAGACTGCGATGTTTGTTCGTATAAACGAGAGACGAAATCACATTTGAGCCAGGCACCTGAAATTGAAACGCGTTGTTGTGGCGGCAATAACTCTTTTGCCATTAGGTAAATTTGACATCAAGCAATTCGTTAGCATGTACTTATAAAAAAATATTTTTTGCTACATGGCACACGATGAAATAAAAAAAAAGGCCCAGTGAGTGACTATAATTGAAGCCTACAAAAAGGGGCATCAGATAAAAATATGAGAAAACAAGTAACATGGTAGTAAATACTTTGCTCATATGAACCGGGTCAGTATTTTGTTTGACAGGTACCAGGCAACCGAGTTCAAAGCAAAGACCAATCAAAGCAGAAACAATGATTACGATATCCTTACAGCATTGCTACGAATTCTCAATACGGTCGAAACAGAAGACTCGCATCATTCATCTAAAGGTGATTCACTGCCCTGTCTCCAATTGTTTCTATTATTAATCCTTAAAACAGGCTCTGAACAGCGGACCATTCACAGTAAACTTTATAAACAAATATGTTACTTTCCACCTCTGGATTCAGTTATCGCTGTGTATTCAGCCTATGGCTAAGCATTATCTTCGTCCATCGACGAAACCTGCGGACGATTCTGCTGACACAGGGTCCATATTTTTTCTACTGTAGAAAAAAAGTTCGAAGTAAGCTAAGGCTTAGCCAGGCGATACTTAAGCCTGGCTGCCACCCGACCAAAGATCCCCTAGGAAAATAATATGTTGTCCTATGTCTAGGGATTTCCGTTTAATCTGATATCCTTTCGTATCGTCGACAAAACGCACCCACCCATTTCGCCAGCCGTTGCCAACTCGCTGTCGTCTTGAGTTAGCTGATCATTCGTGGACGCTATGTACGCGTCGCTGCGATTTTGGGCTGCCGTCCTTGTTATTTGCACGCTTCCCTTACCCGTGTTCTTTTTTTATTTACTGCTGATCCCCAGTCTTGCTCATCACCAACCCGTTCCACGCTTTCGAGTCGTCATTCGCTTCTTGCTTTGTTCCATTCTTGTGCGCTACGTCAGTCTGGCGGTAGTGCGTGCCGTACGGTGATTTCGCCCACGTTCATTCTGAAGCTTCTACCCCAATTACCATTGACACGGCGTGAACTGCGGCACACTATGGGCGAGGCAAAGGGATCGTGTGCTTGCTGCATCACCTATGGGGAAAAGTAGTGGGGGCAGAAATGGCTCTCATGTCAACAGGGCACTGCTGTGTCCGCTAGCGGACACAGCGGCAACCGTGGCAAGGTCCGTACGTGGTGTTACGATATGATAGCCAATACTTGAGCTCATCTCACGTTGACGTTGAGCCAGAATGGCATCGTACGGTACTCTGATGGCCGTAGACATTTCGTTTTTTTATCACTTACCAGGATGGCGGACTGCCAATGGAGACTGGCGGCCTTTGCAGCTCGCCGTAGCAACAATCGCCGCTGATTCCAGTGGCAGTCAGGAATCCATAGTCGCTATACGGACTCATGTAGGCTAGTAGCAGGAACAACCGCGTAATGAATGGCAGAGGAACGATATCTGTAGCACAGGTAGAGATGCATTGCTTTGTCTTCGCCACTATTATTATTAGTGACTGCATCTGCCGTAGTAATTGGGTGAAGAAGATTATCGCCCCCCCCCATAACCGCAGCCGAGAAAACAAAGTCGTCAGGACCAGAGGGCGCGCGAGTGACAATGCCTTCAGCCGGGTCGTCATTATTGAAATTATCGCAGTAATTTGTCACATTGTCGCTTGCCATATTGTGCTGGACTGTTCTCTAATGCTAATAGGGCCATGCGTTTCCTATTTCAGCTTTCTTTTCATTCAGCTATAAATCGGCGACATTGTACGCATCGTCACTGGTGGTCCGCCAGACAGAAAGGCAATGCGAGAACAATAGAGAGTATATCGAGACAGATAGATAGGTAGGTAGGTAGGTAGGTAGGTAGATAGATAGATAGAAAGATGTTGTTGGATAAATTTTGATAAGGCTGACGATGATTATAACGAGAGGTAGTCTGTACCGACAACGTCGAAACAGACACACAGGACTGCAAAAAGATAACCAGAAAAGTAAACGGCGTTGTAAAATCTGACGTTAGGTACGGTAGTGATGGTAGCATTAGTAACGAGATTCGAAGTCCGAAGTCGATGGCGTACTGTGTAATGTGTTTGCTTGTTAAACTCGAGGGACACGTAGTGGTTTAGGCTCGAATCCGAGAAGACACACCTCATTTCATGCTGTGAATTAGCCGTTAGATAGAATGCTTAACAACGGCGCCGGACGCAAAACCTGACATATTTACTTTAGCGAAAAAAATGATGACAATGGATTACCGTAGAAGGACGAACGAGTTCGATGGTAAATACGGCCCGTTCGGATTAGAGTACTGAAGCTGAATTTTCTTAAGCTGATTGGTAGAAGAGGATGGAAGTTGAAATTAACGTTCTCATCACTGGATGTCAGTTTTGATGATGAAAACATCAAAATTAGTATCTTCATCATCAAAGGCAATCAATTCGTCTAGTGAAAGTACAATGAAGTTATTTTATAATCCCACCATAGTTATGATGATATAAATTATATCGAACACTCTTGAACTTACTATAGAATTTAGTCCGTATCTCATATGGACGTGCATACTGTTTTACAGGGGTAAAATTCTGTGGGGTAAGCTACCGGAGTTAGTTGATCAGGCTCATTTGATGGATGGAACAGATCTTCTATACCGTATACATATATCTACACTATGTTGAGCAAACGATATTGAGCAGATCACACGATCGTTCTTCTCAGCTAAGACAATAGCATTTATTGCTGCTACAACGTCCCTGCCAAGCCACTATCGAACGCTGGCATGGGTCGCCGCGCCGTCCGCACTCGACCACACGCTGTGAGTGCAGCACGTTCCACAGCGCACGTATAACGGCCCCGATTCGATACCATCGCCGCCACCATCATCTCTTTCGAGGAGAGCAACCGGATGTACTCTGTATGTGAACGGGTGGTCGGTCAGTTGTTATCACGTTATCGCATTTCCTTTACGTGTTCTCAGCGATCTTACGCATAGCATAGGCTTACTCGGATGCCAACAAAGAATGACTGGCCCCGCGGGTCCACCGGCAAACTGGGATCAGTGGGCAAAGCGGCAGGAAGGAAGGCAACAAGGCACTATACATCCGTACAACGACGGCTGCCGTCATCGTGAAAACGAACGCCAATTGCCTACAGCGAACGCTATAGACGTTTCCGATGGCAGCAACGTCGCGCTAAGCCAATGGCGAGCAACGGCTGGCCGCGCTCTGTCGCCCGAGTTGTGTTGATTTCCACGAAGCAAGGGAAATACTATACTACGCCGCAAGTTGCCAAATAAGCCGTTCGTCATTTGCAGTGGTAGGATGTGGTATGCCAGATGTTGTTGTCCACAGTTATACCGACGGAACAGATACGAAGGTACAGTGTCATCTATACTGACAAGCTCATGTAGATCGTATGCTAACGTACCGCTAATGAATAGTTCTAGAGAGAAATGAAAAATCAAACTTTTTTACAATTTAAGTATTGCAACTGCTAACAGATCATATAATTACAAATCTATAGATGTATCAAACAGAACACACTGGGAATTTCATGGAGTCGACGAGATTCATAGGCCTTAAGGCGCTATCCTCTTCAAGTGACTGGAATCACTTTAAAGCCGTAAATATATAATAACAGTGAAACTTTGTAAAATTCATCAAAATAATAATACATTTTCTATAAACTATCCAAAAGCAGAGTAGTTTATAGGACAAATCAACGGCGTTGTTTGCTATCGTTATTGATAGAAAAATAAATATTGAATTGTAAACTAATTAGTTATTGAGCGGTCCCATGTACGGGTGGATGCGATTTAAGTTTCGTAGGTGTCTACGTGCTCGATATATGTCGACCTGTCTGTATTGAAGGACATTTTTTAATTATTCGTTCGCGACATCGATATTCTTCTAATTAAAAATTGAGCCCAGTACTTGTTATCTATTTGCAGACAATTTACGTGGGCGGAAGAAGCGCTTTATCGTCATACTAATGTATGCCAAGGCTATTCCCCTATTTCGGACAGATCTGCTGGTCATCACGCGTGATCGTCGTGGCCTACGTTCATTAAAATACATGTTTTACCTTATCTACTGCGCATGTGTGCGCAGTCAAACTACGGGTATTTTAGAAATGTAGAAGAGAAATTTACTGATTCTCTGTAGAAATTGTCGTCTGAACATACAGCTCAAATACCAATCAGCTTGTCTTCTTTGGATATCCTATGTTGGCCCTCGACACGTCGTTTCCAACGCTGTAAGTTGGAAGTTTCACGTCGGTTCTTTTGACACTTTGTCTCAGTCTCGTAGTTAATTTCGCCGTTAGCAAAAGATAGACTGTATCGCATACGGTCCAGCAGTGAGAGCAAGGTTTGCCCGAAAGCGCCGATGCCGTCTTTAGATCTTGGAACCTCCGCCCTCTCTCGGACGGGAACCTCCGATGACGACCACCAGGTCGATGCCCAGCTGGAGAGAGCCATTAGAGTAACATGGCTATTATCATCTGCACTGCCTATAAGAAGCGATAGCTTATGCAGTTTTTATTCGTCTTCGGTGGATCGTTCTGACGCTAGTCTTTCCGAGGTCTTTGTTCCTATGTTCGCTGTAGGCAAATGCTCTCGTTTTCTTGACTTTGCTCTACGCGGTACTCCTTAGAAAATCTATCCATGGGCCTTCTTATTGACGATGGGCGCTCTCCCAGTTTTCGACTGGGGTGAGGCACCTCTATAAGGAGTGAGTTGATTTGGCGGGTAGGGGGCTCGTGAGGCTCGAACCGACCGAACTACCCGAGTTAACCCTTAAACTAGAGGCAACTAGAGGAACTCACCTGCCGTAGTCGGCCAGTTTCGTTATCGGGCTGTGGGTTGTTGGGGATCGCTTGCTCTGGGGCGTTTTTGTGGGCCAGACAGTCACCGCGCTAAGCCGTAGCAGCATACGATCGGTGCTAGAACAAGTCTGCATCTGTCGACAAAAACCCCATAGCAAGCCGTATTCCTTTTTTTACTTCATATCATGTAAAAGCGAAGTCTGTATCGGAAATAAGAAAAAAACCCAAGGAGAAGTAATCGGTGTAGTACTCTACTAAACTCCCATCGATGTCGACAGCAATATTTGTGCCAGAGCTAGTACCGGCATAAGTACTTGAAAGGGAAGGAGGTCAGGAGAACGTGGGGTGAGGTTAGAGGCCACTTAGGTTCCGTATGGTGCCCCCTATCGTGAAGCATTCACCTGGCTGGCCGGCTGGCCCCTTGTTGGTAACAGACAGCATCTTGCTAGCTGGCATTGCGATTCGTTCGGGCCGTATTATCGTAACCACAAAAAACACTTTTTCTGCTTGCTGCACCACCCCTGAGCTTCAGGGCGCCTATCTATGGGATGCAACGGTCGAGCAAGATTTGTGTGAGGCAGTGTCTTCCCCACCGAGCTATTGTGCGGGAGGTGTCTGTTTTTCAATAACAGTCTATATCTGCGCAATTTAAGTAGCTAAACCGTAGCAGGCCCACGATTGAATGTGACCAGGGCTCTGATGTAACGGCCAGTGTCAGATCCATGGTGGGCAGCGGATGCACGCGGACCGTTGGACTAATAGTTCGCCAGGCCGGTGCGCAAATGGTGATGCCTTCGAAATGCCCGCGGCTGTCATCGCAACTGCGGATGTTGATTGAAACGCTCACACACCCTATGTGTTCTAACAACCCACAATACGAACATTGGATTATTTTGTTAGAAAATATCAAATTTATTTCGAACAAATAGTAATAATTCTATTCCTTACATAATAAATTTAATTTTTTTCCAAAAGTCAAATACGAATCATCTTAAAGGCAACGATCGAAAATTCCGTAAAATCGTTACTTACCCGTTTGGTTTTGTGGGCGGTATAATATTTGTATGAAATTGTTGAAGTCTACGACCTTTCATGTAGGGCTAAATCTTCTCTGCACGAATTCTCCGGCTGAAAACTTAATGTCTGTAGTCTGCTAGGGACAACTTCATAATGCAATGGCTAACTGAAACAGACCGACAAGGATAATCGCGGTCGACTAACAGCAGTATAATAATAAAGTAACTACACCGAAGTTCAGCTCAAGGTCGCATTAAGCAACTATAAACTAGCTTAAGGATTCTATCCTTTCGCTCACTGCACTTTTGCCATAACGCAAGTGAGCACTGCCAAAAATTCTCCGAACAAGGTATAACATGCAGACCTTAAAACGAGTCAGGAAAGAAGACGGGGACATTTGAAGAACAGAGAAGAAAGATACGATTCGGTAGAGTTTATTCATGTGCAGAAGTCGAACGGTCAAAACACGATATCTAGTAAAGACAACCAATACGCAGGTTAAATCCTATAGCCGCTCAGTTACCTGGCATATATATATATATTCCTCGCCCTTTGGTCCTATCTCTTGGATAACATATGGAAAATCGCCCAAATATATGTTATAAAATCGACGCATATGACGCAATATCGGAATATTTTGTTGTACTTGTATTTATGGAGCTTTCGAGCGTTACCAGCAAAGCTGAAGAAACGAAAAGTATGAATCAATATTAATCATGGACAAACTTTATAGGCCTAGCAGACGATGCATCAAACCCAACTGACCTTAAATTGGTATTTTTATATCTTTTTGAAATATAATGCATCTTTCTTATATATACTTATAATTAAGGCGTACCCGAAGAAACATCGACGACGTCGGCCGCTCCTATTATTTACCTGACGGACATCTAGTAGCTCTGAATGCTCATTATAGATGTCAGATTCAGCACGCCACTAGACAATAAGCCGAACTCCGTTCGATCCTACGGCATAAAGAAGCAAAAATTATAATTAATGCATCGTTAGGAAGTGAGTATTTTTATTCGAGGTATCGAGATTGTTTCTTTCTGCTGTAGGTGTCCTACATGTGATCAGGGTGCGGAACAATTTTTCTCTTAGTACTTGGCCTAAGCGCATAGGTTCGTCAATAACACAGTTATCTATGCTGCTAGTATTTTCGAATGAGATGCAAATGAACGCGAGCATGTACAGAGCTCGGTACAAGTGAGCGACATTTGTTAACATCACTACCATATCATCTATTGAATTCTAGAAGTATCCAGAACTGTCTACTAATATAGAAAGTTACTTCTAAGCTTTTCCTGAATTTGTCGACCCTGTATTTGGGAAAGGTATTGCAACGAAATACACATCAAAACATCTGAATTCAGGCTAGAGGTATGCATCAGTACTACGTGCAATCGAGGTGTCTAAGACTAACGCGTATTTAACATGTAACATGTTAGATGGGTCTCATTGGACAAGTTCGGCACTTTAGTCATCGGTGATTTTGATATAAAGCCATGCCAATCGACTCAATGACACTTAGATCACGATACATGCCTATTTCAGGCCACAGCTGTTACGATGGTGCGCGACGCGTGCATATATGCTTTGGTGTCCCTAACACTATATCTAGTTGCACTTGTTACTGGTCGCAGCTTTAGGTTAGAAAGTGTACGAACGTATACATATCAATTAATAACAGCATTTTGCGAATCTATGTATTTTGCTAAGGGACGTAATTCAACTAACAGTCTATGATTCGAAATCTTTGCCATGTCCGCAACGGCCCTTTTCTTTCGAAATACTCCGCAGCTTTCTTGTTCGACCGAAAAAATCAACATTGAGGGAGCCACCGCCTAATAAGAGGGCGGGAGAGAGGGCGGGAGAGAGCGAGAGGGAGGGGGGGGAATAGTTTTTTGTTACGAGGATGTTACGTCGCTGGTAGACGGCGCAGCTGTAGTTTTTTTTACTGTTGGGTTGTGTCTAAGTCCATCTAAAATCATGCCCATTGTTGTTACATTCATCAGCAGCATCAACGATGCTTCCGCGGTCAAATCTGCTCTGAATGTAAATGCAATGATTTACTGCAAAATTAATTAATTTGCCTGGGAATCCCGCTTTGAATATGTTGATTTCGCGGTTCGCCTACCAGACTGTGCTTTACTTTGGCTAAATACTACGGAGCTGCACAGTCGAATCAGGCAGGAACGGTCACGGGCAGCCTGTGACTCGTAGGGGCGGTAAGCCGTAAGAGGTTTCCGTTCATCGGTATTCCGCATAAATCCTTGTTCAAAGCGGAATAGGTTGACATCGTGTTGCCATTTGAGTATTCGTCGCGGTCAATGATAAAAAATACGGTTCCATGCTGGCGCATGTTGCCATACGCTGGCTCAACGTGATACCGTATGACACGCTAGATGGTACTACGGACTCGGCGGTCGTCCCGAACAAAATACGGTTTACTGCTGCTGTTACAGCTGCTCCTGTGGCTGCCAATATGACTGACTCCGCGCTACGTTCGCCTTGTTGACCAAACGCGTTTCCAGTCTTACCTATCGAAAGATTGGCATTTCAAGAAACGCCAATCTGTGGGTAGATAGTAACTTGACGTCCGCATGAGTTTGCAGTAAAAGAATTGAGAAGATGCGATGAGGCATGGAAGCAGGTAACTGGCGGGCAGGACAGTAAAATTTTGATCTCCGTTAATTGAATTCTGAGAATTTGGCGTTGGCGGGCAATCCTATGTGCTGGTCGGTGACTTCTTGATGTTATTATGAGCGTATTAATATATATCTCGAATATATATATGTACAATTTAACGCCAATATGTACGTGATTGTGGCCACAAGCGGGATTGTTGTAGCAATGAGCGAAAATAGATCATTAATTAGTGTTTTATAACGATCAGAATACAATGAAACTTGTTTAATTGAATAGTTATCATATATGAGAGTGCTACTAAAAACTACTGAGTACGCCAAGTTGAGGTATAATAACATTATAAAAACATAAGCCGTTAATAGAAAACTATATAGATCTGTTAAAACTCTTGCAATTCAGACAAAGCATCTGAAAGATAAATGAAATTTCTGCAAAAATTCACAGATAGATAAAAAAAAAACAAAAGGTAAAGGCACAGGTGCTGCGCAGACTTACAAATGGATTCGTGCTGATTAGAATTAAGCAGCTGCGTAATCGTGATGTTTCTGAAGTTTTCGTTCGGGAAATTCGTACCTGATCGATCGATCGATTACTGAAAAAGTTGATCAGATCTTTGCGAACGACAGGCAGCAATGGTTCCGAAACATTTGTCACCCGATAACTCTGAATGATTTTTAAACAAAGATGGCTCAGTGTTCGACGCAAATCAAGTAATGCGAACCCTACCCCTATTCACGGAGCTCTAGAGAACTACAATGAAAACAAACTATTTCTAAAGCGATTGGTCGATAGTGATAAAAGGTGGACCACATACGACAAACATGTAAAGGTACGTTGCAGGGCATTTCTCAGATTAGGCCTAACAAAGTGATGCTATGTGTTTGATGGAATTACTGCCCTTTGACAAAGTGACTGATTTAAACCATCGCTGTCGATAACCTATAAGAAACTATTGGAAAAGAAATAAACACCAATGCCTGATTAGAAACAATTTTTGATTACACGTACCTATCGTTACATGGCGAAAATTGAGCAAACTCTTGAGGGAGATCTTCATTTGTCTCGGTCTCGTTACCATCCAACACTCTTGCTATGCAAAACTCACTTTTTTTTTTTTTTTTTTTTACCCAAACCACAAAAATCCGGAAACGGACTGGATTATGATATTATCAAAAAATTGACAGGTCGTCGATTTAAAGGCAACTATTTAACTCGATATAATTGTTTTAACACCTAAACAATAATTGATAACTAAAACAATAATTAAGAACTAAAAGACGGTCAATTTTTTCGACAATCCAATATATACGAACACCACGGCATGCTACTAAAGTAATTATTACGAGACGAAACGAATGATACCTGCTCGTTCCTCACCTAGTCGGTGCCGGTGCTTGTAAGCACAACTTCTAATCACACAAATACAAAATGGTAATAGTGTTTCCAATGTCGTATAGTAGCGTTTTCTGTGCCATTTTGTTTCAACTTGTTTATGTGAAAGTTCTACTATGGACGAACACAGACACACGTAACCCTTGAGAGAACGGGGTATACTTCAATGTTCAAACACTGTTTATTTGTATCTTTTATTGCGTATGACTTGATTCAAATCGTGTATAAAATGGCCAATCTCTGCTTATTTCTCGCGGAAATGCAGAGGGCGTCGTGGTCGATCGATCAGAGCTCGCTCGGTTGATTAGCTTCTTGTTATAGGGTGTTTACATGCGTACGCACGCCCACGTTGTACCACGTTTTCTGCCACCGTCGGATCGAGCGCGATACGCTGTCAATCCCAGCTTCTATGTCGTTGGTTGGCATCAACGGAATCGCGTTAATCTGTCGATTGATAACCAATAATAATTGTCACAATAACAAACAGTACGTCATCTAGAGGTTAGAACAATGGTTATTTTCGTTACTCGGAAAAATGCCGGACCCGTAATAGCGAGCAACAATTAACTGCGATCAATCACAGGCGGCGCTGGCCATTGATGTATCGCTGGTTACGAAATTTGCCAACTTTATAATATGTACAGTATACGGGGTAATCAAATAGTTACTGTATGACAGGACCGTTTCGAACAAGCCACTACGAGAAGATATTCTTCGATAAATGCTGAGTGAAGCTTCTTCTATCTGAAAATACCCAAAACAAAATAGGTAGTGATAAAAACAAATAAAAAGAAAAACGCCCCTGCGCATAGAACCGAAATGAAAAATGAAGAGGCTGCATGCTTGCGACATGTTTTCTACGTTATCCTGTAAATGTACGTGTGCTTCTTACGTCGAAGTTCATCTCCCGCTTAATGCTATTATATTGTTTCACAGGCGCGACGACCAGGCAGTATTAGACTGCGACACACGTTATAATAGCAAAATCGTCTTATTGAAGAAGATCGGTGTGTTGATACTGATCTGATTAGCCTCTTTTTGCGTCTTCCGAAGTTCTGTGTTATACTAGCTGATGTTATTAGTTCGTCTACTAACGCCGAAAGATCTCCTGGCTGTACAGTATCATGCCACGAGGAAAACAGCTAGGTCGCTGGTCAAAGCTTTCGTTTCTTTTAAAAGCGATGTCTCATTCAAACAGAACGGCGACGTCTGCCGCGGCAGGAAGAACACTGTTTGTTGTCAACTGGATCACCGTTACCACTAGAGAATTCAGCGCCGTAATATGTCGTAGAGTTTCCAGAACCCTTGCCGGCGGCAAGTCCAACTCCTTTTCAGTAGCAACATCAATAACAATTATCGTTTTTAGTGGACATACGAAAGCAGGGCCAGGAAGCCTGTGATCGCAGACCTGAAATGGCCTGCGGAGATCGACAGTAGCGATTTTAATAATAAACAGCCACCGTGTTAATGCTGGTCAACCCTCTACGGTAATACTGCTATAGCTGGCTCTTACGGCAACTAGTAGATATTAACAGTAGCCAATGCTCGAATCGGCGAAGGAGCAGAAATGAGACAGATGGTAATATGTGTGGTGGCGCGCGCCGGCGCCGCTGCGGTGGCCGTAGACGCTGTTGCATTGATGGTGATGGCCGTGGTGGCGTCAGGCGCTGGGGCTGCCGACTATTATTAAGTCATTGGCATAGGGGACGATTAGCGATTAAACGGATAGATCATCTTCTTTTTTCTCACACGCGTGACGCTCCTTAGCGAGCGCACGAAAGCATTGAGGAACAAGAGGCGTACGTTCGCCGGTGTTGGCCAGTCGATAGTTGCAATAAACAATCAAACCAAAATACTGCTAGGATGTCATAAGATACGGTACGCGTCAGACACCTCAGCGATTTGTACGGTGGTGGCAGTCATTACAAAGATATGGGTGACTGAGCGTTTGTGTTTGCTTTTGTTTGGTGATTTGTAACGACGATGCGCGTCGTGATGATTGATGAGTTTCTGTTGAAGATGTAATAGTGATATTCCGATCAGGAAGCGAAATTACCACGTTTTGTTCCGTCTTGTCTGGATACGCAGATATTCCCGGTAGTCCGAAAGCATATATACATATAGACACGCTCATAATTTTTGATATTGTAATGCGGTGAGTCCACTACCTTCGCAAACGAGTAACGCACTCGCTATTTTTTCTCCCACGTCCAACCGTAATATCACTTGTTCTGTATCCAGCTGCTTGTATATTCTAGCGGCTATCTCCTTATATCTTTGATTAACTGGAACTAGACTGAGACCCGTTAAGCTCGCGCAATTTATACGGTCTGTTCTACGTCGCATGCTGAGTACAGTCTAATTTACAATTCCTAAGGCTTTTCTCTCTTTTTGTCTAGTAATCGTTAGATACTTAACGATTCATGTCATATTCATTTAATCAAATTATCTTCCAATTTCTTTACAGTTGTACTACAGGAGCTAAGGTTATGTAAGCTTCTACAATTGCCATTGCTGCTACGATTATAGAAGTACGATACTTACAGACATCCCATCGCGAGAGGCTCCTACACAGAAGGGCATATAGCCAGTCCACAACGGCATTGATGGGAAACGAGTCACTTCAGCGCTATAATCGCAGTTATCATGAAGTGCTGCAGCAGCTCCAACTGCACAAAGGCCGCGGGTCTTCTGATGAGCGATGGCGTGGTGCTATGGGAACCAAAAAATTAGCGGCAGCACGTTGCGTGCGCATAC